TGAGTTAGTGTGTGCAGGGTGGCAGAAGTGGGAGAGGGGGCTGAGGGGGGGCAGGCAGAGAGTTCAGCATCCTCACGGCCTGATGGACGGAGCTGTTCCACAGTCTGCTGGTCCTAGAACTGAGGCTACGCAGTCTTCGCCCTAATGGCAGCAGGTTGAAGAAGCAGTGTAGCGGGTGGTCAAGATCTCCCACCCAGCAGAGGGCTTTACTTCTGAGGCGAGAGCTGTGGAGGTCCTGAAGGCAGGGGAGAGAGGTGCCAATGATCTTCTCAGCTGTCCTCACGATCCGCTGGAGGGATTTGCGGCAGGATGCTGTGCAGGCCCCGTACCACACAGTGGAGCAGCTCATCAGGATGCTCTCGATGGCCCCCCTGTAGAAGGTTGTCATGATGGGGGTGGGGGGCTCTCGCTCTTCTCAGCTTGCGGAGGAAGTAGAGCCGTTGGTGAGCCTTTTTGGCCACTGCTGCTGTGTTGATGGTCCAGGAGAGGTCCTCAGAGATGTGCACACCCAAGAACTTGGTGCTGCTCACCCTTTCCACAACAACACTGTTGATGGATAGTGGAGCATGTTTTGTCTGAGTTCTCCTGAAGTCCACAACAATCTCCTTGGTCTTCTCTGTGTTCAGCAAGAGATTGTTGCGTTTGCACCAGGAGACCAGCCGGCTCACCTCGCTCCTGTAGAGTGACTCATCGTTATTGCTGATGAGGCCTACCACAGTCGTGTCGTCCGCAAACTTGATGAAGAGGTTGGAGGGGTGTGATGGAGAGCAGTCGTAGGTTAGTAGAGTGAACAGAAGGGGGCTCAGCACACATCCTTGTGGGGCCCCCGTGTTCAGAGTGATGATGCTGGATGTGTTGCTGCCAACCCGTGTGGTTTTCATATCTGGTCTGTTTTGTGTCAGAGGAGAGCTCCTGTGCACAATCTCATGGTATTTGCTTCAGATTGGAGACAAAACTGAGAAGGGTTTGAGATGAGTTTGGGACTCCTGCAATAACTCCGAAACTACTTTGAAAGAAGGTTTGAGCCAAACTCTTTAAATATGTTTAAAACTTAAGTGACAGGACAGGGGAGGAAACCAAGAACCGTCGCAAACATTTTCAGACATTTTAGGCCCAAACATCAGTCATCAACTGGTCGTCAACCCAGTGAGAAAAATATATCGGTTGACAAAAAAACAACTTTCCAAAGTTAAAGATTTTCATCAAGTCTAGATTTGACACATTTCCACCACATTGTGATACCTGAGTAACAGAAACTTGTGATGGACAGTTTATCCTCCAGAAAATTCAGCAGCACAACATCAAAGTGTGTTTTCAGTGTTTCTCTCCCGTCCCCCTAAAAAAAAACCAAAGTCAGTAAATTCTGATTGATAACTTGTTGCTCGTTTGTGTCATGATTCAAACTTTTCTGAGACGGTCTGTTTCCAGTCACACTGTAAACATCCTTTGCGTTATCACTGGTTTTAATTACTGGACAGGACATTCCTTGTCAGCGCTTGTCCCTAATGCTCAAGATCATTCTGCCTGAAAAGCTCTTAAATAAACTTTGTGTGATTTGGCCATGGAAAAGCTAACGATTTTCACATCGTGATAAGGGATTTCAAGGTTATGGACTTTGTTGCTGGTTGTCTTTGTAGTACTCTGAAGTTGTGAGGAGCATGTGATTGTTTGTGCTGCTTTCAAGGATGTTTTCTGTCATTCCACGTCTTTCAGAACAACGCGATCAGCTTGGAGCGGACAACAGGATCCCAAAGAGAGACACCAGTAAAAGTAACTGGATGTATATCCTTGTGCTCATTTCAGTCGGGTCACTTCATTCCTTGCGTGCTCTCAAACATAAACCAGATAGTCCACAAACAGCAAGCAATGGCAAAGGTTCTGTTTATTTCAGGGAGACAGTCTGTTGACTCAGAAGGGCCTCTTTGGATGGAGCAACAACCCATCAATGATTAAACTATTCCTCTTTTTTTATAAATTAGGATTAATAAAGACAAAATAAATTTAATGAGCGGTGTTCATCTTTAAGAACAATAAAAACTAGTGTTTGTTGAGGAAATGCATTCCGCCCTTCATCATTCATGCCACCGATTTAGACTAAAAAAGGAACATTCTGGTCAAACTCTGTGAATAACATTATTAGACAATCTCATGAGATATTGTGAGATTTGACAGCGCTCAGTGTTGAATCAGTTGTAGATGTACAGCCTTGCTTTGTAAAAGTTGAAAAGTGGTTTGTTACATATTTTGCTGACAGACAGACGTAGTTGACCATTAGGTAATGGCATAAACCAAATCTTGCACATTCAGCTAGTGTTCAGATTATGAGCAGGGACTGACTCTCACCTACTTCCATATTCAATTTAGCTTGATCTTTTTATATTTGACGCAGTGGGTTTGGTGTTTGTTAGGTTTCCTCAGCTGTGGTGGCCATCTTGAATTAGATCGACTCTGAAAGTTAACTAGTTGTACATTTTATCCAGGGCCAAGATGGGGTAGAGGTAGGGCAGCCGACTTGGGACCAGAAAGTCGAGGTTCAACTCCCCGCTACGCCCACATGTCATGGTATCCTTGAGCTAGTCACCCAATACCTATCTGCTCCCCGGGTGCTTACATAGCTGCCCACTGCTCCACCTGCGTGTATCTCAGGTGTGATGGGTTGAATGCAGAGAGCTAATTTTGTCATTGTAACATACAGTGATGACAACACATAGCACTTATACTTATTATTAGGGATGCATGATATTATCAGCATAGTATCGTATCAGCCGATATTAGAGATAAAGTTAAATATTGGACATCGGCCATTCCATCAAAATAAATCACCGATAAAAAAGGTCTTTGTTTTAAGTTCATTTTTAATTTAAGAAACTGCCAAGTATATCTATTAATGCACTACTACTTATCCACTTTTCACTTGTCGCTTGTGAAGAGGTTGAGTTTAGATTTGTGAAAATTTACACAGTTGCACTGTTTGAGTGTTGTCATTGTGTTAGAGAGAGTAAATGTCGTGAATAAATTTAACATTAAACATAATTCAAGTTGAAGTGTTGCATCATTTTCAGCCTCTTCTTGTCATCTGCATTTGGTAGCGGCCAAACTGACAAAGACCATGTAGAATAATGTAATGTAGTATTTTAATTCCACAGCAGAGAACGCTATGTATTCTCTGTAAGTAAGTCTAGGGGAAAAAATATTGGTATCGGATATTTAAGCCAAAAATCCAATATCGTGCATCCCTACTTATTTTCATCCAATAATCATTGTCTGAGAGTTTCATTATCATCCATCCAGTGGTCCGGGAGTTATTTTGCTAACGGCACTGACAAACAGACAAACAGGCAAAATATGCAGTTTTAACAAATCTGGCTCTGACTGTCAACTTCAAGGATGGATGAATAAAACAGCCAAAATGTACTTGTGAAAACATAAAAAATACAGATGTTATAAATCATTCATAAGAGTATGAAGCACATCTGCTCAGCTTTTTCCCAATCCATCCAGCTGTCTGTATCCCAGTAATGACTCAACGTGTTTTGTGGTTTTGTGTGTGTTTGTGTTGGGAATCTATGAGGCGGCCTGTTGTCATGTTCAGATAAAGAGGAGGGGTTGAAGGGGTGGGATGACACGGACAGGAATGGACAGTTTAATTAATAACCACCATCCATTCCTCCCTGACCTCAACTGCTCACACATCCTCTCTCTCTCTGGGGTCCAAACCCTTAATGTTCATCTGTGAATATTGATGGAACTGTAGTTTTTTTTGAAAAAATAAAATAAACTCAAGGCAGAAGACAAACGAAGGAAGGTTTCGAAGCAGCCGGTCAGTTTAAGGTAAGAACCGTGAGGAAGAGTACGAGCTTCACGGATGATTCTGGTTTGGTTTGTTGCGCTGGGTGGAGGTTAGTGAAACCTTGTGGGCTGCTCTTTGATCTCAAGGGAAATTACACCAAGGTAATTAAAAGAAGTCGATAAAACTAATGTCCAGTGTGATCATCCTATGGCCTTGACAGCAAAATATACCAAAGGGCTCTTCATCTATGCTAACATGAGCTGTAAATGCAAGAAGGTTTAAGCGTGTTACCACACGTTTAATGAAGAGCGACATCACTATTGTACCTGTCAGCTGCATCCTAATGACAGATTGTAGGAAAACAAGAAGGAATAACTGTTCTGAAAGGACAAAAGGAACATATCCTTTATATAATTAGCTCTTAGGCCTTGAAGTGACCTGACCTTCATCCTCACCCTTCCTGCTACTGATCTCATCCTTGTGTGGGAGAGGAGACCTGTCAGGTGTGGTTATATTTAATTACGCTGTAAGGTGCCCACATTCTTATTTAGCACCCTATATCACATCTTAATTTTCTTTTACAGGGGTAAATACAAATTCACAGCTCGGTCCGGACTGTCTTTTCTGAGTCTAAGACAGAAAACTCTCCTGAATGATTGAGTGGGTGGGCTCCGAGATCAATGTGGTGGGACCGCTGCAGATCCCACCCAGCGATGACTTCTCCATCTCAGAGAGCACCCACTTCTTCGGTGAGTAAAGCAACGGTTCAAAGTCAGTGTGCAAGCATGCACTCATGCAACAACACTGACGTGAGCGCATGTATTAAATATCTGTTGAAATTGTCATTATTACAGAACAAGTTAAGTAAATGTGCTTTAAAAAGGTGTCAAACTTTTTCATGAATGTATTTTACTGTTTTTCCAACTCTGAATGTCTAATTTAATGAACTTGGCAACATGCAGCTCTTGTGCCTTATCTTGTAAAAGTTTTATAAACTAACAAACTGAGAGAGCAGGGCTCGGATGCAATCACTGGACCACCATGTGGCTCCAGGATGAATTCATGCTTTTTACATTATTTCTGAAATATACCACTCTTTTCAAATTTTGTTTAAATCTAAAAAAAAAAACACCTTGATTGGAGTTAAGCTAAAACTGTGGTTTGATGTGAAATATTTTTCTTTGGATTCTTTACAGAGGCTTAAATGACAAGATAATTATGACTTGTTGGGAATACAGTGGGGACATGTATTGCTTTAAAGGAACAAACATATTTAAGAACAGATACAGAAGATTGAACATGATTTAAGTGCTGCGGTCTGTTATAGTTATTAATATTAGTCTATAATAAAAGTGTTTTTTGGTTCTGGCAGGTGGAGTTACCTGATCTGCCACAATCTGTGTTCTCATTTAACTCTATAATAAAAAGAGAAAATGTCTTTAAAACCACAGAAATAATCAGATATGATGAGGAATCTTTCTAATGTAAAACACTTAATTTTTTTTAATTATTATTCTCCTGTCCTTTTTGAAGCGACACAGAGTCTGGCAGAGTTGGTGATACTCCCCACCCACTTGTATCTTTAAATAAATTGTATACAAATGTAAATTCAAAAAAAGATTTAAAAAAATCAAATTTAGAATCACCAAGAAGAAAAACACCACTGAACTGATAGGTTTCTCAAAGTTAAAACTCATATCAGAGATAGAACTTGAGTTTTTCCACAAGATTTTCCAGAGTGCTCAAAGGAACACAGATCCAGAGATCTTTATGTCAATTTCAGGTTTATCCACATTATAACTGAAGATGTTTAAAGCCAACTTGGTTTTAAACACTGCAATATAATCAAAAGTTGCCAAAAATACAACCAATTGCTGTGATTGAGTTAAATGCATAAACAAGAGTATCGTCTGCATAACGATTAAATGAGGGTCTCATCTTTGTAAAACAAACTGCTCATCATGATGTAATTTTGTTGTACAATAAATTGATGTAACCACAAGAATACTTTAATTAAGCGTTACTTGAAATTGGTAAAGAATGGGTATGTTTTAGACATAGCCTAATTTGACTTTTACGTGCTAGGACAAGGTTCAAGGTTCTTTATTGTCATTCGCACCTCATGTGGTACTTTGTACATGAGGTGGAATGAAGTTGTGTACACAGGGTCCCAGTTACACCTACAAATAGCTAAAATATAAAGTATAAAAAGAAACAGTATAAGAATCTAAGATACAGTATATGCTAAACTCTAATAATGTAAAATAATACTGTATATTAAAAAGCAGCCTGAACATGAGTCTGTAGTGAGCAGATGGGTAGTGTTAGTAAGGTGTAAGGTGACGAGTAAAGTGCTGTTCAGAATAAAATCACAACTCTTTCTCCTTTTTTTCATTTTGGAATATTTATTTTTGGGTGGCATGGTGGAACAGGTGGTAGAGCTGCAGCCTCTCAGCGAGAAGGTTGCCGGATCGAATCCCAGTCGAGGGGCCATTCTGGGTGGAGTTGGCATGTTCTCTCAGTTCAAGCATGGGTTTTTCTCCGGGTACTCCAGTTTCCTCCCACAGACCAAAAACATGCATGTTAGGCTGAATGGTAACTCTAAATTGTCCCTAGGTGTGAGTGAGAGCGTGAATAGTTGTTTGTCTCGTTTGTCTCTGTGTGTCCCTGTGATGGACTGGAGACCCGTCCAGAGTGTACCCTCGCCTCTCGCACAGTGACTGCTGAATATGAGCACCAGTGACCCCCGTGACCTGAAAAGGAAGAAGCGGCTAAAGATAACGGATGGAATATTTATTTAATTTATCCATTAACAATATTTTGAACAAATCACAACAAACTAGGAAACTATAATTCATCTCCTGCAGACAGTTGGTTCCCGTCATCTCCTGTCAAGACACAGTAGCAGTCAGTTTGTGCCCAGAGCCATGAATGAGCCAGCTACTGGTAATGATGTGAAGAGATGGAGTCGGTTAATGAGTAGCCTTGGCAACCTTTGCTCCTTCTAAGATTTCTCAAGGAAGCAACAAGTAGCTGCTGTTGTCAAATCCTTAGCCGAAGTGTCTTTCATTCAAAAGAGATGAATGGAAATTTATTCTTTTTGTTTAAATCCTAATAAAAGAGCTACAAAACTCGACAGGACTATGGCAATCAGCGAGTAAAGTCTGAGAATAGTTGGTGAGTCTGGTTGTTTGGAGATGGCCGTGGTCCAGACCCAACCTTCAACAGGTTAGTGTTCGGTTTTCCATGGAAGATGTGTTGGTGTATGTTTGGTTCAAGGCTAAGTTTGAAAGCTCGTCAAGATTTTAGACAAGCTGAGGAACTTTATGAGTTTAAAGTGGCAGGTATCTCTTTTTAAATGCTTTTGAAAACATCAGGTGAAGCTTCAGCACACTTGTTCTAGAGGTGAGGAACGCTATCAAGTTCACCTGATTGTCAGCATGTTAACATTCCTGCGTTCATCTTTGTTTCATAGCGTTGGCTTTTCTGGCGTATAGAGTTTCTGTACGTCGTTCTGTAAGACACGGTGCACTCTGTACAATGGGTTGTTAATCATTTATGGGTTTATAGCAGACTGTATGTTGTGTACGGTGCTGTCAAAGGTGAAGCTGTTCCTACTGTAACAAGACCGCTACAATCACTGCAAAAATGACTTTACTGATAGATGGTGTTGCATTTTGGTTAGGATCTGGGGTTGTTGTGTCATTTTGGTGTTATTTTTGGTCTGTTTTGGGACGGCCAAATTTTAAAAAGATTTTCTAAATCTTGCTTTCTGCTCCTATATTCTCATTTTTACCACTGCTGCATCTTTTAAGTCTTTATCTACTGGTATGTAAGTGTTTATTTAGTACCCAGTGTTCCTTTATCTTCATATCGTCATTTGCTACCTTATTATCACTTTTGTCTGAACCAGTTAACTTTTTCTACATTTGGTTTTCAATTTTGCATTTAAAGATTTGCATTTGAAGTGCCAATTGTTTTGATGTATTCCATTAATCCAGCTTGTTTTTCCCTCTTCTCACCTGTAAGCTTGCATTTGGGTCTTTTATCAATGCTGCACAAATAACCAGATAAAGTGATTGATTATTTAGGATTTGTTTCCTGGTATTTTCTTTTATTTGATACCTCAGTTCTAATGAGCCAATAAAATAGTCTTTGATGTTCAGACCACACTAAAGATTGATCATAAATATATCAAAAAGTGTATCATAAAGTGTATGAACAAAATGGATATGTTCACCATTATTCTGTGCCATTATAATGTAAACAGCTTGTGCGTAATAAAAAACAAACAACAAAACAACCCTTTTCTTTTTTCTTTCTCAGACATACTGGCAGATCAAGGCAGTCCTCTGCTGCAGGACCCTGACATTTTATCCTTCTCCAGTTATCCCAGCATGCAGTACCCGTCCATGGAGCCAAACATGTCCTCCACTCCATACTACTCCTCACAGAACTATTACCCTCCATACACTGGAGACGAATGGTACTCCCACACGGGGATATACGAACTGAGGAAGGGTCCGCTGGAGGGCAGTTATTTGGCTGATATGGAGGAAGCATCCCCAGTTGTGCCAGTTGGGTGCAAGAGGACCCGACACATGACACAAGCTGGAAAGGTTAAAGGGGAGGATCTGTGTGTTGTGTGTGGAGACAAGGCGTCTGGTTACCACTACAACGCTCTCACCTGTGAGGGATGTAAAGGTGAGTGGACACAGAAATGAAACAAAACCTATGTTTAATTGAGCTAAAAATAAAGAGAGAGAGAGAGAGAGTTTCTTTATTTGTCATACACACCACATGCGGTACATGTGGTGGAATGAAATTGTGTACACAGGGTCCCAGTTACATCCAACAATAAAATGTAAAATAAATAATAAGATCTAAAATATGAACTAAGAAAAGCATAAACTAAAAATACACTAAGCACTAGTAGCATAAAAACAATATGCCATATATACATATACATAGGTGTGTTTGTTCTGTCTGAAGTCCACGACCATCTCACTCATAAACATGTTTCTATAATGCAGAAAAATAACATTTAGAACGACAGCACAGTCTCACTCAGTTTCACAAGATGTCACACTCAGAACATTATGAATGACTCAAATCTAATTTTAGATCAATATTTATTCAGACCTGACACTAACAACCATCTTGGGTGATAGCAGTGATTAAGAGCGTTCACACCCGGAGGAAAAACCCATACCCCAAAATATTTTTAAAACCTCATGTCGAAAACCTGCTCTGTATGCAGATACACACTTTGAGCTGTCACACAGACATTTCAAACATATTATTGCTTTGATATTAACACGGTCCATTTATTTGGCACCTATGTAAAGCTACACAACTATTACACAATAAGCCTAATCACCAGAGAGTAGAGCAGGGGTGTCAAACTCACTTACAAAAGGGGGCCAAAATTAAAACCTTTTTCAAACTAAGCACCAGTTTCAGAATCTACATTAACTCAAGTTAGATACCCAACATCTTTTCTTGGTTGCAGGTTCCTCAACAAGAGTTTGATTGGTCTCATTTGACGTTCTCTGTTGCACTTTTGACATAATCAAAGATTACTGAAAAAAAATTAAAGTGAAAAAAGTATTTTATGTTTAACATATCATCTTGGGGGCCAGACAAGATGTCCACGAGGGCCATATTTGGCCCCCGGGCCAAAGGTACAACAAATGATTTGTGACTTTATGGAGCTACAGCTTCAATACCTACAATCTACAGTCCCGGCTAAGCTAAGAGTCATATCTGAGCAATATTGAGTTATGCAACACCTGAAAGTCAATGTTCAGGCTTATTAATAACGTTTCACCTAATTTCTTATCTGAGTGTTGTTTAAGCTTTTGTCTTAGCACTTAAAATACTAACTATAAAATATGTTTGACTACATGCTGAGACCAGAGTAATCCATGTAACCACATGATCAGGTCCAGTTCTGATCAACTGATGCTGACTTTAAATATACAGAAATAAAACAGAATGACATAATATTTTCGTGGGAGTGAGCCATTTTCCAGGTGATTTGCAAATAATTAACCGAGTGAAAGCAAAGACCTTCAGCAGCCCCTCCCTTTGGCTCTTCATTGCTGTGTGGGTACAGTGGGATTCCTGTCGAACGGCAGGGTGAATGGAGTTGAGTGTAATTCCATTCTGCCATCTTGGACAATGCCAGGAGTGTGGCAGCTGACCTGTGCCGCCGTTTGACTGAGAATAGACTCAGGTGTACGCGGTGATGCTTCCAGATTGGATTCCCTCTCAGCTTTCTGCTTGTCAATGCAGGAGCAACCCGAGCCCAGTCTCTCCTGTGCATTTCATTGTGTTTAATGATGTCAGAATGTCTAGTCATGGTTCCAGCGTTATTACAGGTCCAAGTGTGCGTGGTTCTATGTGTGTGTGTGTGTACATTTGTTGGCTCCGAGGACAAATGTAGACCATGCTGCTCTGATGAGGGTGGAGGTTAGATTTAGGTCAAGGTCGGGTTTATGAGTGTTAAAGCACGAGTCCCCATAAAGGCTGCAAAACGAGACTGTGCGAGTGCCCTTTTCCCTGGTGTTGTCTGGACCAGAGCCAGGTGGGCTCTCTACATCATCAGACCTTTGTGCAACTGCTGAAGCTTTTCTTTATTTTGGAACATATGGACCTTAACAAATGTTTAAAGAAAATTAAATGAGCCAAAATCTATGTTGAAATTCAACCATTGCTTCTCAAAAAACTGCAAATCAAACCTTTAGAAAGGAGAACTTTAGCAGATTATGCTGTTTTTCTTCTATGCAACATGACTACTACTTTGACAATGCAAAGTATATTTTATTGTGAAATAAGCAAACAACAAGAGGAAACAAACCACAACAGAAAACCTCAGGGTGCATAACTATTTCCGCCTTCCTCAAAATGTTTTTTTGGAGCCACTTCTTGTTTATTTATTTTGTCTCCATAAGCTCGGCCCATTCTTCATGATCAAACTGCTTCTAGTTGGACGGACACAGCTCGTGTCCATATACATCCAATCAGAGATTCTGAGTTACACAGTTGTCTGGACTTGGATCATTTAATTGTTTCTCCTTAAACCACTGCAGTGTTGAGTCACTTCCTTCTCAATCTCAAATGTTTCAATGTCCTTATATTTATCAAGAACGTCTCTATATTTTGTGACGTCCATCTTTTCTTTCAAACTTGACCAGTTTTCAAGTATCTGCTGATAGAAAAGCAACTCCACACCATGCCGCTGCCACCACCATGCTTTCCCCATGGACAGTGTTCTCAGTATGGGATCTGTGCCAGATGTGTTGTTGACTTTCATGATCAAAATGTCCGATTTTAGTCTCATTATCCACAGCACCTCCTCCCACATGTGTGTTGGCTCTTTATTATGCTTTTTGGTCAATTCCAAATGGTTTACCTTGTTTATTTTAAGTGGGTTTTTTTCTTCCACTCTAATGAAACTAGCTCTGTGCAGGTTACAGTAGTACAAAGACACTCCCAGCTGCTCCACCAGGGTTATCACTGTGGCCCCTGGGCTGTGCATGAAAACATATGCACACACCAGTTTTGTCGTATATTTTTGGAATTCACTGTAGCTGCATGAAATGTAACAATCTGACTTCTCTCCACTCAGTCTTGACGTTCGAGCAACATTTTCTTGCTCACGCTTATGTCTTGCCTTTTCCAGGCTTCTTCAGGCGAAGCATAACAAAGAACGCCGTGTACAAATGCAAGAGCGGGGGAAACTGTGAGATGGACATGTACATGCGCAGGAAATGCCAGGAGTGCAGGCTGAGAAAGTGCAAAGAGATGGGCATGCTGGCAGAGTGTGAGTATCTCTGCCTGTGAAGACTGTCTAATGTGGTGATGAAACAATCAGTTATTAAAACCCTGCGGGGAAAGAGGAATTACAGACATCTTTCAACTCACTGGCACCATCAACACATCACTGTCAGAGGTAAACCCTCATCCTTTATTCTGACACGGCCCATTTATTTAAACTGAGATATTGTGTGTCACTTATGCCATCCGACACAAAGGCCTCAGCTTTTGTTACTGTTCCTGGAATAGAAGCAGTCGAACACAACGTTCAGCTTGGACAAATTCCACACCTCCAACAAACCAGCCCCTTCTGCAGCAGCAACTTTAGTTTTAGATTTTATCTTAACGCTGCGGTCCTTTTCCTGACTTCTCAGAAGCCAGCTGTGATGTTTGTTAAAAAGCTGTCGGTACAAAAGAGCAGAAGGATCAGCTGGACTCCTGAAGCTCATGAATAGTTCAGCTGTGATCAATATTGCAGTACGGAAGGCTACGACCGGCTGCTGCAGCAAGAACTCCAGCGGTTGGACGTTTTTTATTTATTACGACATGAAACAGATCATTTGATAGATCGATCTGTTTTCTTCACTATATTTAACACCAGTTCTGAGAAAGTTGGGATTTTCTGTATGATGAAACACAATTTGTAAATCCGATGACCCCACAGTTTTTTTTCACGATGGAACAAAGTAAACTAAATTTGTAATAAATGGTAATTTTGAATTTGATAGCAGCAGCACATGTCTAAGATTTTGGGGCAGGGTCATGTTTACCTTCTTGTTTTAAACGCCCTGAGAGCAGCTGCTGGAGTTTTTGAAGGGAGGACTGTTCTTGTCTGACGTTCAGGGTCTTAGAATTTTGTTTGCTTGTTTTTGTTTCACGATGCATCAAATGTTTTTATTTGGTGAGAGGTCAGGACTGCAGACAGATCAGTTCAGACTTTTCTTCTACGAAGCTACGCTGTAACAGATGCAGGATGTGGTTCAGCGTTATCTGCTGAAATATGCAAGGCCTCCCCTAAATAACACATAAGTTGAATGTGAGCATGTTCTAAAACCTGTTAATACTTTTCTGCGTTGATGGTGCCTTTCCAGATGTGTGCTGTCCTTGACAGAGACACTAATGCACCCCCATACCATCAGAGAGGCAGGCTTTTGAACTGCAGGCTGATAACAGGCTCTGTCCTCTCTCTGTGGCTTCCAAAATAATTTCTAATTTCATTTCATCTGAGCACAGCACAGTTTTAATCTTTGTCTCAGTTCATTTTAAACGAGCCAGCGAAGATGACGATTGATGGATGTTGTTCACATATGGCTTCTTCTTTACATGATAGAGCTTTAATCAATGTGTGTGGATGGCACTGTGGACTGTGTTCACAGACAACAAATGCTGAAAGTGTTCCTGAGCTCATGCACCGATGTCTTTAAGAGAATCAGAGCTGTTTGTGAAAGCAGGCTGAGGACCCGAAGATCAGACTTTCAGTCCTGTCCTTTGTTGCCAGAGATTTTTAAAATCTTTTGATATTATGAACTGCAGATGATGGGATATTTAAAAGTCTTTACAATTTTCCATTGAAGAACATTATTCAGAAACTGTTCCACTATTTTTAGGTAGTTTTTGTTTGTCACAGACTGGTGAACTTAGAGATCCAGACTCTCTCTAAAATGTTCTTTTTATACCTGCCGTTGGGAAACAGTACAAATTCTTAGTTTATCCACTCATTACACAAGTTTACAATGTTCTGTTGTGAATAAAATTTGGGTTTACAAGATTTTCAAATCATTGAATTCTGCTTTTATTCCCAACACCCCAACTTTTGTTATATTTTTTCTTTTTATCCCACTGAGCCATGCATTTGACAGATATAAGTTAAAGGCAACAATATTTGTCACACAGACAGAGACAAGCGTTAGTGAACACCTGCAGTAGATATAAACCTTTGAGGTTTTTTTTACCACACAAAGTGAAGCCTCCATCGATGCTGACAGGCCTGCTGACGGAGATCCAGTGTAAATCCAAAAGGCTGCGTAAGAACACTAAGGCCTCCCCCGGACGGTCGACGGGCGACGAGACGGAGGCGGCGGACAACGCAGACAACAAACAGGTCACCTCAACCACCAAACTGTCGAAGGTAAACATCTGTCACATGTGGCAAATCAGATTCAAAATGTGGGAAAACTTGATGTTTTAGTTTTATTTTGAAATCCAGGGAAAGGTTGAAATCACCAAAGAGCAAGAAGCCCTCATGAGACACATCGTAGAGGCTTACAACAAACATCAAATCCCTCAAGACTTTACAAACAAACTGGTACGCTTTTTAATCTGAATTACTGGCAATCAGTGATCCAGAGCTGCTGAAGAAAGAGCAGAGTATCTTTATCTAATTGGAATACGGTTTACGTTGCTGCATGCGTTGCCTTCAGGCTGGTGGTTAATACGATTTGTTTTTCTTCCAGCTGCAAGAACAGTACAGCACAGAGGAAAACTTCCTGCTGCTGACCGAAATCGCAACGAGCCAAGTTCAAGTGCTGGTCGAGTTCACCAAAAATATTCCAGGTATCACCGAGGATTGACAAAACAGTGTTATGTACAGAGGTCCAACTCTTTAAAGTGATGACTTGGATCTATTTAAGTGAGGTTTTGTGGAAAGATTATAAACATTTTAGCTGTGTTAGATTTTGAACACTTTCTTTTTAAAAGTCAGTTTAATGCTGACAAAATAATAACTTATCTGAACGGGCCAACACCAAAAAGAATTGCTGCCATCTTAAAACAACTCCATTTTTAAAAGTGTCACGGTGATTTATGCAAATACTGTTTTATAAACCTTTACACTGTAGCCCAGGGACGTGCATTGAGGTTTTTGACAGGTGAAGCTGACTCGTCTGGAATCGGATGCTCACATTTACTGTATGAACCCAAAATAGAAGGTTACTTGTATATTTCAATTTAGTTTTTTTTATTTTAAAAAGGCATTTAATTATGCTTTAATCATCTCCATACTCCTCTCTTAAAAAAAAAAGAAGAATATTTTACCTTTATTTTAAGATGAATGAGTTTGAAAAAATGATGTTGAGTTTAGAAAATCCTTTAGTTTTGAGGTATGATCTTTCATTTTGTCTAAACAAATTTTAAAAAGTGTGCTAATTTCCTACACACCTCTGCTCCTCTGCCTAACAGAAGAAAGTACAGCAACTACACCTGCTTCATTGTCTCTATGGGGCAGCACTGCCCCCTATCTAGGCGGAAAGGTACTTTCTGCCTCACCCTGTGTATTTTTAGAATGAATTTATGACCGAGTACAAAGAAGAAATATGTCACACACATTCATTCAATATATGAGACAGACTGTAGAACATCAGCATGTGCAGCACATGTGTAATCAAACACGTATATTGGTGTTATAAAGAGCACCCACTTCATATATTGTATATGACACAGCGCCCCCAGAGGTGAACCAGCGCACTACACTGCCTCGCCCGAGTCACCCCACATTTCAGTGACTTCTTTATTTCATTTCGAACAGATAAAATTTTCAACAAAACCATAAACAAATAAAAACGTAAATATTTCCACCAAAATATTCTGGAAACAAAACAAAAATGGTTGAAAAGGGAGCAGGAAGAAGCAATGGCTTATCCAGTCCTGTCCCTAAGTTTACATACAAATTCTGAACCAAACCAGTTTTGTAAAAAAAAAAATTAAGAACACAAAAACCCAAAGTGTAGACCGAAAAAAGGTGTAGACCGAAAAAAGGTGTAGACAGAAAAAAGGTGTAGGCAGAAACACAAACTTATTATACCTTCACTTTGTTATACATCAAAATCAAAGCAGCAGAATTTTTCCTATATAATTTTCTAAAACATATCAAGGAATTCCAGCTAAATTGATAGACAAACTCATTAAAAAAAAAAGAAAAAAGAGAAAAAACAAACAAAAAAAAAACAATCAAACCTTATTATATTTGCTTAGTAAATGATTTGTATACAGTTTTTAAAATGTAAAGATTTATTTATTTATTATTTATTCCATGTTTGAACATGCAATGCGTAAATTCCACGATTTTGATCACTGAAGTGTTGAAATAATTCAGAAAACAGGTTTATAAAACTGTTTTATAGAACAGTTTTATAGAACAGTCAAGTGGTCAAAAGCATTTTCTCTTATCATTTTAAGTATTTTACTTGTCATGATAACAGGTGCGGCACTGCTTCGTCAGCCTCCCATGACTGCACGTCACCGCTGTAATCAGTTTTACATTAATTGATTATTCTGGCAGAAACTGTTACATAGGAAGTGTCCCAGGATGCACAGGAAGTACCATAAAAAAACATAAATTTCTATGTAAATAACCACATAATGCAAAACAGGGAGGAATGTAAACATTTAGAAAATACTGTTCTCATGAACTGCTTTGATATTTCTGTTTTAAGAGCTCAGAGATCCACTTTGGTCTCTGTCTCAGTCAGACTAGATGTTAACATGTCCCACAGACCCCCACTTGAAAAGAACCAAACTATCCTTTTAGGTGCGTGGACCCAGGCCTGCTCAGTGGGTTCTGTTATAGAGACACGTTGCTTTTTCTTGGCAGGTTTTCTGTCTCTGGATCACGAGGATCAGATCGCGCTGCTGAAGGGCTCGGCCGTGGAGGCCATGTTTCTGCGTTCTGCTCAGGTTTTCAGGAGAAAGATGCCCAAAGGACACACGGAGGTTCTGGAGGCGAGAATACGCAAGAGTGGTGAGTCCTGTCAGTGGGCTCAAGTTCACATTTAGGTTGAGTGAAATTGTCAAATCAGACCTTTATAATTCAAAGCAGTCGCTTCTGCTGCAGCTTGGTCGAGTCTGCTCAGAACCTCCTTTAATATTTGAGAGACGTGTCCTGACTCACTGATCTCTGACTGGGTGTTGATTACACATGCACACGGGTACAGTTTCACTCTGGTCAGGTGTGTTTGTGTGTGTGTGTGTGTGTGTGGGGGGGGGGGGGGGGGGGGATGAAGAACATCAAATTGACCTCTTGATTCAGTTATTAAAATGCACAAACTTTTTTTTTGATGTTGTTTACATAAATACCACTTATTTGTTTACTTCCTCACTGATTATTATCGGACATCAAAGGTTAGAAGATTTGCACCCGTGTCTGAGTTATTATTATTTTTTTTTTTTTGTATGCCGGTTAGCAAAGTTTCCCATGCATGTCGGGTTTTATAATTAAACTCTCAGAAATTAATTAATGGGTATGTATCTACAACTAGTTACAGTTTGGAGTCAGCTCCATTCAAGATGGTTGCCACAGATAAGCAAACTTTTTTTTAAATGTCTACATTTAGATGCTGAGTGAAAATGTGCTGTGGTTGAAGCTGAGAGTACCGTACTTTTCGCTGTATAAGTCGCACCTTTTTGCATAAATTTGCATGCACTGCAACTATACAGCGCAACAACTTATTCATGTTTTTTCCCCATATTTATAAACCAATTTTTGGCTGAGATCTGACAATTTCATTCATTCTGACATGGAAAATATTGAACACTACCATTCTCAGCCGCTAGAGGGCACTCGAGCAATATGGCAAGTCAAGTGTCTCATTAATAGGTAAAGGTGGCTATTAATGAGACACTTTGCTTGCCATACAGAGCCACCTTTGTCTCGCTCCAGTACTCCTGGAGCAAACATCAAATCAGCTGCATTTCGCCTCCGCCCAGGCGAAATGCAGCTGATTTGACCATTAAAGTTCATTTATTGAGGAAAAGTTCAACTGAGACGCACCTTTGCTGTAATGTCGAGCAAACAAATAATTGTTTTATTGTAAGAGTTAATCTTGTTAAATTCTTGTTAAAGTCCTCCCGTGCACGCTCCCGCAGCCGCCATTTGGCAGTCAATCGATTTTTGGCACAACACCGGTCCACGTTTCTGGGTGGTCAGGGGTGATGCATAATAGATCCAACTTATACGGTGAAGCGACTTATTTATATATTTTTTCCACTTTATTAGACATTTTTGGACTGATGCGACTTATACGGCGGCGTAACGTGTACGGTGGAAAGTACGATAATTTACAACTTATATTTTAAGAACTATTTTATCACACAATATTTCTTTTTAAAACTTTGGCATCAACTATTTGAGACAATGTCTGTCTGTTAGCACAATATCTCCTGAACCTCTATGTGGATTTGAATAACACTCTTAGAAAGTAATCATTGAGTGTACAGATCTACGACTGATTAATGTTTAGAGTCAGCCTGATTTAAGATGCATGCTACAGTTGAGCAAGCTTAGAAAACATTAAAACGGCTATAATTAGCCAATTTGAAATGTAATTAGCTGGCAATAATTCACAACATGTACTCTGAGCACGACACACCTCATCACATTTGTGCTTACAACTTTGGCATTTTTGTCCGTTTGCAAAACATTTCATGAACCAGCACACAGATTTGAATGAAACACCCAGACAACAATCGATGGATGTACCTACCTGTATACTTTTGTTGGAATCAACCCAATATTATCATAGTCTGTGTTTTTTCAGTTGTTTATGTAGTTTATCTTAGTTTCATCTCTTCCTGTGCTTCATGTTTAATTCGTGTTTTGGTCCAGCTCCCTGTGTTTTCTTGCCAATTCTCATTTTTATCCTCAGTCAGCTTCGGTTGTTCGTCAGCAAGTTCCCACTTACACCTGTTTCCAATTAGTAATCACCCAGGTGCTGCCACCTTCTACTCCCTCCATTCTCTTTAAACCGTCTCTAATCACCGCTCCAACAGCGGGTCATTGTCTTGACTACCAGTCAGACGTTGTGCTCTCCTGTGTTTGTAAGTTGTTGCTGCCATGTCAGCGCTTTGTTTTCATTTAATAAACAAGTTTTATTTTACTCGAGCTCCGCGCGTCTGCCTGCATTTGGGTCCATCCCGTCATCGACCTATGATAAACCTAACATGACTTCCGAAGCTAAATGATATTAGCAGCTACAAAAATGGCTACAACTCAGTCAGTTTTTCAGATATTAAACTAAAATCTGGTGTGGTAGTAGCTGAGAGTTATCCTCAACATATGCTGTAAGAGCTAACATATCTTGGAAGACTGTCACAAGACAGTCTTGATGCAGAACCCCGTCCGTTAAAGCTGCGGGTGATAGGCATTCCTTGAGGGACTGCGGGCTCTGAGAGTCATTCATATGTATGTGGGTTGTCATTGTGTCAACAGGCTGGACAGTTAGACAGACAGCAGAAGTGAGTGTGTGTCAGAGGGTCCCTGAGTGCTGCGCCGCTGTGAATGGTGGGGAGAAGAGATATTCACACTAAAGGCCAGTCTGGGAGAAAGCGTTGGCTAAGCTGTCTGAAGAGACCATTGTTTCTTATCTAAACATCGAGGGAGCCATTGTGCACTCCTCTCCCCATGAGCCCCGCTGGCATTTCTGAAAGCTTCATGATGCGTCCAGGCAGACACACGCAACCAGTTCGCCTGAAGAGCGTCAAAAGTTGGAGCTTTTCCTGATATTAAACAAGAAGCAGCTGGAAATAACGACTCTGAGTTAGTTAAAGGAGGAACAGCAAAGATCAGATTTGGTTGTTTTCAGGTGTTTTGCACGTTTTGTTCTAGAGATGATCTAAAACCCCAACCCAACAGAGTGGAATTATTTAGTTCAAAATACACAGAGTTAAACTTCAGAGTCGTTCAGATTGTTAAATTATTGTTTGCAACCTGTTCCTTCTTGTCTTTAGGTGAAACCACACACACAGGTGTCATTTAGCTAAGATAATTTAGTGGCACCAAAGTTCATGCTCAATAATCCAGGTAATAATCCAACAATGTTCAGTCAGGTCATCTGGATGGTTTCTTTTTGTTGCTGAGATGTTTCGTCCTTCATCAAAGCAAACTGAATCACACAAACCGTAGGTACCCGCCCTCTCCCCCGTACACTCCTCTAAGGCAACCTGGATTAATGAGCATGAATTGTGATGTTTTGAAGGCTGCCTTAGAGGAGTTGATGAGGGAGAGGGTGAGCTCCAGAGGCCATCTTATCACCAGCAAACTGTTTTTTTTTCCACTCTGGGAGGGAGCTGTTTGTGTGATTCAGTTTGTTTTGGTGCCTCCTCAGACTGAAGAAGTCCTTCGGATGGACGAAACGTCTCAGCAACAAAAGAAACCGTCCAGATGACCTGACTGAACATTGTTAATTTAGTGGCTTTTTATCCTGATTCATGCTCAGTAATCCAGGTAGAAAATACCAGCCAAGTTAAGCCAGGTCCTCTGGACAGTTTGTTTGTGTTGAAACGTTTCATCTTTCATCCAGAAGGCTTCGGTGGCTTTTTATTTTCTTCTGTCCTTGATGAGCTCTTCATCCCGTTCCTCTCACATTTCTTCTTCTTCTCAAGTTTCTCATCAAGACATCATCTTCAGACGTCAAACCTCCTGATTTCTATTGATTCCATTTTTGTCTTTTTCTTACTGAAACTTCAGGAAGAAATGCTCTTCCAGTTATCAGGCTCCATCAGTAATACTCATAGTAATACATCAGGCTCCATCA